ACCGCATAATGTTTAATGATTCATTCACATTTTAAAAATAAATAAACGAATCTGAATTGTTTATAATATTTCTATATAATAGTTTAAAACTGTTTAAACTATTGTATAGATACTGTAAAACTTTAAGGTGGTAGAGCACAATTAAAATACTAATTTTTGATCAAAATATGAAAATATATTTTTTTAATTCATCTTATTCAAAATTTTATCCTCTTTCGTTTGATGTATGTATGAAACAGAATTTATTTTTGGAAATGTGATAAAAATCTATATTTGCAATATTATTTACCTTAGCAACGCCGTAGCAACCACAAAAATACCTTTGTTTACTGTAAGTTGAGCAAAACTTGCAAGCTAACTTATCATTTTATTGTGTCCATCATGCTTTTATTTGTTTATTTATCAACTTTGTTTATAAAGAAATTTGAATGTCAAGAGTTTTGTTGAAACACGATTCAAAGATTTATTTTGTTACCATTATATTAGACCCTATTGTTGTTAGTATTGGATTAAAGATGTGTTATTAATTACTAATAAATTATAAATAAGAAATAAGAAAATGAACTTTAAAAAAACAAACAAATAAAAAAAAAAGCTCTTTTTGTAAACATTTTTCTAATAACAGATATTCCAAATCCTGAGAGACACAATATTTTTCCAATATTTGCATCAAAATGAATCATTTTTATGCAAATATTGGACTCCAAGTAAAACTTATAAACCAAATATATCTATTCCTCTATCAATAAAAAATCTCATTACACCCATTTTTATGGATTTACATAAAAATGAATTACTGTTGAAATGTTTGCATGGTCAAACACAAAATTCAAATGAAGCGCTCAACTCATTCATATGGTTTAAGGTATCTCAAATCACATTTGTTCGTAAAGATGTTGTAGAAATAGGTGTAAACTCTATTTTTTATTTCAATGATGGTAGAAATGGTATATTAAAAGGACTACAGCTTTTTGATATACAAAAAAATGTTACACAATTGACAACAAGTTTAGCAGGCAGTATATGAGTAAAACGAATGAAACGTAAGACTACTATTACGGTAAAGAAACAAAGAAAAAAACTAAAAGCAATATAAAAAAGAACTCAGCAAAAATCATAAAGCAAAGGAACCTCAAGACTCATATATTTCAGAAAGATTTTATCATGATTTTGCTGTTTAAATGTGATTTTTTCTTTATTTTGTGCTTATTTTTGTTTTTTCTGCAAGTCGAGTTTTTCATATTTGATCAAGATTTCAAAACATGATTTTTCATGATTGAATAAAGCTTTTGTTCTGATATTTTCAGGACATATTCCTAACAACATTAGAATTCATTTGACAAATAGATTTTTTTTAATTATTTTTAAAACTCATTTTTTTTAGTTTTAACTTCTTTAAACTGCTTGTAAATTGTACAAAATTTAACTTATCTTAAAAAAAAGGTCATATTTTTACATATAAAAGGAATAATTAAAAATCTATCTGTTAAATGGAGTAAAACAATGTCATCAACAGATCTGGAAAGTTTGATTCATGGTTTTTAAATCTAACTCAAGATAACGTGTTTTGAAAACATAAGAATTAGGTCTTTATTTACACTGTTTTTTTGCCATTATGGATTTTCGGTAAAGTTTTTAAAAAATTTTTTTTGGCAAAAATATTTCATTTTTCTTAGTGAAGTATTTCTGCATATTTTTAATTTTTTTTTTTGAAATTTTTCATGAAAAGTATCTTTTTTGTGCTCTACCACCTTAAAACATCCAAAATCTGACTTTGGCATTTATACTTTTGTTCTGCCACTGGCCCACTGTGAGATGGCAACGATTAGCCACGAAAAGTTTTTTTAAAAAATTTTTTTTCTCATATGGGAATGATAGGATTTTTTTTTTTTTAATTTTTTTATTTTGTTAAAAATTACTAAAAAGAAATTACAAGCATAGAAAATCCTGGCGGAAGCAAGAAGAAGACAGACTTGTCTTATCACCGAGCCTCGTTATATAAGTAAATAAGTCATAAATAAAACAGTATAAGTACGTACAAAACTTCAGCAATAAAATAACTATTTGCTAATAATCTTCCAGCGAAATAGTTTAATAAAATAAAATAAGACAAAAGTGAGATAATCGTGAAAGTCATCAATCATAAAAAATTGAGTTAAGTTTTATTAAAAATAGTGCAATAAAAATAAGTGTTTATGGCTGATTAATATAAACAATAATATCAATAAAAACATGCATGGATTTTTTTCTTATGGCAAAAATCACCGATAGAAGCGGTTTCAAAATCATTTAAAATCAGATTGTATTGGGCGATGAGCCCTATAATTCCATGAAAATTTCTCGGATCGCCAATCAAATTAAAATTTTTTTAAACGACATACCTTTTTGGCCCAAATACATAATAGGATGCAATGTATATATATTTTAATCAAAATCGAGCGGTTAAACTAATTTTAAATTAAAATTAGTTTCACCGCTCAAAACAACCACTGTATGAGTTATATATTTTTCCCTGAGAGCTCTCTTCCAGAAGTATTTGTTTTTACCAAGCTCTTCAGAGAAAGCCAATACAGCCGAAATTTAATTTACGTAAACTTTTTATGGCTCAATATAAATAGTATATTTCAGATTTTGCTAACATGGTCTCTCTGTTAACTACATTTCTAAAAATCACTGCAAATAATACAGCGCTAAAACGTTCAAACGTTTTCGTACGAAAACATTGCTTAAATCAGTGGCGCTATAAATGGCAAGAACTTGATCAGTAAATTGTTTTTCATTATATTATTAAAACTAAATTATTATAACACTTGTTTTATTTTAAACATAAATCTGAGTTTTACGCAAATAGCAATTATCAAAATTATGGGGGAATCTACTGGGAGTGCTATACATATACTCCATCCCCATTTCCCCTTCTTCCAAATAAGGCGATTTTTAAGTTATAGTCGGTTTTTTGAGGAATATAGTTCGTTAGTCGAGCATTTGACACATTTTAGTCAGGTGGTTTTAAGTTATTAGGAACTTTGTTTTTTATATAGAAATCATTTAGCACTTTTTAAGGATTCGCCCCCTTATTTTATTCCTAGAATCGCCCCTGCATCAAAAATTACAAATCTTTAAAACACAACGACATAATATTTTATCGACAGATTTTAAATGCTACAGTTATGTTGCTTATTAAATCGTCAGACTATTTTATTTTCTACTCACTGTTCTCTTAAGGATATATATATATATATATTTTTGCAATGTTGACAGGCGTATCTACATGGTCCCATTCATACAATTTGGTTGCTTTAAATTTTCTTTTGTATTTAAATTATTTAATTCTTGTTTGTTAAATGACATTTCAGTATATATTATCAATACCATAATTTATTTATAAAAAATTGTATACGCATTTGACACATGATTATCAATAAATAAATATCAATTAGTTACTTTTTATTTTTAATTGGACCATCCTCCAAACGGTAATGAATGTAATGGGAACAAGGATGTTATCAATGGTAAAGATTGAGGAAACTAGAAAAAAAGTTTTTAAAAATATTCAAAACCTTTTTCTAAAAAAATATACAAATTTCCTATTATAGACATTTAATTAAAGTATTAAATTATTAAATATACTTGGTTGATTTTTGAAAACGAAAAATTTGAGTAGTTTTGGTAGCGTGAAATTGTCTCATAACTAAAGTTTGTATTTATTTCATTTTAGAACCCATAAAGTATATTTCTTAATAGTCCATAGTCAGAAAAAGAATTTTAAAAATGTTTTTTGATTGATGAATATTTGACTTTTATAAAATATGGTACAACGCCCCATTTTAAAAATATGGTTCAAAAAATATTAATGTAGAATTTTTTATTATAATTGATAACTGTTGAAATTGATAACTCATGCCAAACTTTCTACATACAATGAATACAACAAGAAAAACTTGGTGGAGTTTCTTAATTTTAAATACTATGAATACACCAATAAAAACTTGTTGGAGTTTCCTTATTTTAAATACAATGAATACACTAAGAAAAACTTGGTGGAGTTTCCTAATTTCAAATACTATGAATACATTAAAACTTTGTGGAGTTTCTTAATTTCACGTACTATGAATACACCAAGAAAAACTTACTAACTTACTAAACTTTCCTAATTTTGAATTTGAACAAGAAAAAATTTTGATTTATTTAATTATTAAAAAACAACTCTTTTTTCTTCGCACTCAGAAAATAAAATTTTTGAACAATTAAGTAATTTCTCAATACACCTACAAATATAAATATTTATTTTACAAAAATAATAAACCTTATAAAATGCTCAAAAATAATTTATATATTCTTTTATAAAAAGAAAAATTATTACACTTGCAATTTTCATATAAAATTCTAAAACAAATTTTATGCTGCTATTTTTCTATTATTTACACACACACACATTAAATCTTTTATTTCAATAAAAAATATAAAACATTGATAAAAATAGTAAAAACTTTATTCTATATCCATAGAGATTTATATAAAAAAGTAACAAACAGATCATAATTAAACATTAAGAGACATCGTTACCATCGTTACCTGGGGGTAAGATCATTCGGACAAAATATTTTCTTCTGAAATAATTCATATTTTAGAACTGCACTTTTGAAGAAAAACATGCAGTCTTACATAAATAGGAAAGATTTAATATTTTACACAACAACGTCCGCATTTAAACTCAGATCGAACAAAAACATGCAAAAAGTAAATAAATCCAAATGAATCTAATATAAAAACATAATCTAGGTCCAGATTAATTAATCAAAAAACGAAATAAAAATACAAAAACCAGTGACTATTTATTGAACGTTGTAATTGCGAAAGGAAAAAAGAAATACTTGTAATAAATTTCAATATAACAAAACTAAAAGTTAATTTCATAACATAAATTAATTAATAGTCGAAATTGAAATATGAATACGAATACAAAACGTAAAAGTACTCAAAATAAACATTACCAGATAAAAAAAAAAATCTAACTTGCATAGTAGACTTTCTTTTAAACGCCTGAATACAGGCTTATTCAACAGTATATTGATCAAACAAACTATTCTAGCTTTTAAAATAAGACGAGAAGAACAAGAAACACGCATTCACAGCATCACATCATCGTCAAATTTTTCTATTTTTTAGAGATTTTATGAAACATTATCAGGACTTGATACTGAAGATATGGGTCTAAACAAAAATATATAAAATTTGATAGAATTTTAAAACAAATTATTTTGTTAAACATATATTTATTCTTAATGCCAATACCCTTAAAATCATGCCAAAGCGGGGAATGGAAAAGAAAGGGGTTTAAACTAACCCTGGTACTGGTAACCAGTGTAACCCTGGTAACAAACTTTTTTAAATAGCAAAGTAGCATTTTAAAAATTTATTCAAAGCAATTATGTAAAATTAATTTTTAATATTTAATAATTTATATTACCTATAATCAAATGAAAAAGTTAAGAGCAAAAGGGTTGAAATATATAATTTACAAGAATATTATTTTACAACTACCTTATAATCAAAAATAAAACAGAAATAAAACTTTTTTTTATTGCAATATTTTATATAACTAAATGAATGGAATAATGTTAAACATTAATATAGATGTTACTTTAACAAAACTATTAAATAGTAGAGAAAAATTATTAAATAGTAGAGGCATGAAAAAAAACCCCCCCCCCTAGTTTTTCTTTCAAAAAACTTTCTTAATTTTCCATAAACCATATACTAAAAATAGATTAAAGGTTGATTTGCTTTAAAAGTAAATAAAAGTATAAAGATTACTAACGATGTGCTGCTTTCCAAAATCAGTTCAGCTTGAGGGAGTTGTGTTTCCAAGGTGACTAGTATTTGTCTCAATATTTGATAAAACACAGGATTACTTGTCTAAATAAAAAATTTATCATAGGAAATACACAACACTCAACATGACGAATATAATTATTAAATAATATATAAATTAAATTGGCTGATCAAAAAAGTATTTATAATATTGCAAACACACATTAGCAAGTTGTGAATAAATAGCACCACCAAATTGGCAGTAAGAGTTAAATTAATCCCAGGGTACAAAAAGGTACATACCATCTAGTTCAAAAAGTATTTAAAAGAAATATTTTAAATGAAATAAATAGCAGAGACAAATCGGAACAAGTAGAACTAATTAAAAAAAATTTCTTTTTTAATTTTGATACCTAGAAAAACCTGTCTGCTTTTTTTTCTGGAATATTTCAGAATAAATTTGCTTCGTGACATCTGTTATACTATTTGTGTCAACCTCAATATTTATCATATATAGATCATATTTAAGCATACATTTATTTTAGTAACCTCTCACTAGGTATTGCGAAAAGCCAAAAATGAGAAAAAAAAAAAGTTTGGGTTATCACAATCACCTTCCTACTGATAACATGTAGCCTAGTAAAACCTAGAAGAAATTAACTATGACTTAAACAACTTCTGGCTAGTGACTCCTGGTTAATCCAATAAAAACTGAAGTTTAATAAAGTTCTTTTTTTTGTATGCTTAAAGGTTAACACAGTTGTGGCCTGTATGAAAACTTATTAAATAACTTTATCTTGCACAATTTTATCTTAATTGGTTTTAGTGTTATATATTGACACAATAAACATATACATATATTATGTATATATACATATATATGTATACATACATACATAAATTACATACATATTCTAATAAATTAGACAATTTTTTAAATTTTTGTTAAAATCATTTACTTTGTAAATACATGTTTCAACTATATCATAGCCATCATCAGTTAAAATATATTAAAATGCTTAAATCAAATTATTAAAATTAAGTTCAACTAATAGAGACTTTATAATAAAAATTACAATAAAAATGCAATTAAAAAATGTAAAAAATGTTTTAAATGGTTTACAATATCTCTTATTGGGTTTAGTCTTTGTTTGGTTCAATCAGATATTTTTCCAATATAAGGAAGTTTAAAATATTGATAATTTTGCTGGTTTTCCCAACGTGATGAAATGTTGGCATTGGTGTTGTTAATATAAGAGCTATGGATTTTCTTAATCAACTAAGACTGGGTACATGTTGCATTTGAGAATTTTAATAGGATTGTTGATGACATGACTAAGATCGAGACTCCATTACATGATTTGAATCATTTATCTTCAAAATTTCCCTTGAAAAGATTAGCAAGAACAGGTGTTAAGCGAGAACCCATAATAACAATTTGGTCATAAATTTGTCCTTTGAAAAGAAAATGAGTTTGAGATGTTGCAAAATTGAAGAATTTTTTAAAATTACTTTTACTAATTTTAAGAATAACTTTACTATTTATGATGCTATTAACGGCAATATTTATTGTTTCTTGTAGTGGAATATTGGTATATAAAGTTGTAATATCGTAAGATACTAAGATATGTTTATGAAGGCTAGCTTGGTTTACTTCTTTAGAAAAAGTGAAAGAATCTTTAGTGAAGAATTCTGAAAATATTAGTGGAGAAATTTAGCTAAATGATAATTATATGTACCAATGGATGATATGATAGGTCTGAAACTTATATTATCACCAGAAGAAATCATCTTATATAATTTTGGGAGGCCATAGATGCGGGCTGGACGAGAGCCTGAAGGATATATTTTATTATAGTTGGATTCATCAAAGAAACCTTTTTTCTTGAGTTTTCTTAAAAAGTTTTTAAGTTGTGTTTCTCTGGTGATAGTGACATCTTTTTTAAGTTTTTTAAATTTAGATGGACTATTAATGATTTTGTAGAGACCATTGTCATAAATTTTTTAATCTAGAATAACCTTTACCACACAAGTACAAGCAATTTTCGAAAAAACTTAAGAAAACTAGAAAAATTACAATTAAAGTTATGCAAAGCTTTAAAATACAATTTAAAAATTTAGATATTAATTTTTTAAATAATTGCCAAAGGTTTGGAGTTTTGCCAAAGTTTGTTTTAATTTACCGGGCGTATCAAAACTGGACACTCTTATAAGGAAAAGATTACTCCGAAGTGCAATAGTAAAACGCAACAAAGAGAAACAATAATTTTATAATGTAGTTATTTTAATTGAAGCTAATTTTAAATATCACCTATCTAATGTTGATTGGTTTATTTTAACTAAAGCTTTGAAAAATAACATCGAAAAAGAAAAAATATTTTTTTTGAAAATACACAAAAAGAAATTAAAAAGTTTAACAAAATGTCATAGTTTACCTTTTAATAATTCAGATATTATTAAGAATCTTTCTTCATTTAAGCTTTCGGAAGACGAATTAAAAGAATTAGACATTCTTAAAAATGGACTTTTCTATTCTATCACATCTTAAAAGAACCAAAAGATTCTTCATTCAAACTCTGAAATCTTCAGAATAATTAAAAAAACAGTAATAACTCCAGTCAACTTAAAGCTGAACTTTCTTATTTGCTAATTTCTATATATATAAATATCGCCTGTCCAAAAAAACCCTAAAAAAGCATGGAATTCTGAAGAAATTATATAAAAATCCAAATATCGTTATTTTAAAACCAGATAAAGGAAACGGTGTGGTTATTCTAGATAAAAAAATTTATGAAAAAGAAATTCAATTAAAATTATCTTCTTTGGATCTAACTCTAAATAAAACAAACAATTCCACAATTATCACTGTTTTTCATAAGAAAACTTTCTTGGGACTCTACGCAAACATTTTTAGTTTTAATTCATTTTCATACTAAGTTAGTCTGGTTAAATGTTTAATCGATAGAGCTTATAAAATAAACAACACTAGTCTTGATCTTAGTCATAAAGTTCTCAAACGCAACTTGTACCCGTCTTGATTGATTAAAAAAATCCAAAGCTCTTTTATTAACAACACCAATTTCGACATTTCATCATGTTTGGAAAACCTGCAAAATTATCAATATTTTAAACTTCCTTATATTGGAAAAATATCTGATTCAAACAATTGATCAAAACAAAGACTAAACACAATAAGAGATATTGTAAACCGGTAACCGTAAGTTTAGTTTTTACTTAAAAATTAAAAAAAAAAAATTTCCACAAAAGATTCCTTTCCTACAGACTTTAATTCATTATTTGTCTATAAATTTGAATGCCCAGGCTGTAAATCCTGTTATATTGGCAAAACTACTCGCTATTTAAAGACACGAATAATGGAGCGCTAAAAAAGGGTTAAAAACTCACACATTTATAAACATATTCATTCAAATAAAAACTGTTTTAATAGTTTTAATTATGCTAGTTTTTCAATCTTGAATTCGACCCCCAACAAATTTATATTTTAAAACTTAAAGAAAGCATGTACATAGAGTGGGAAAAACCCACTATATATATATATATATATATATATATATATATATATATATATATATATATATATATATATATATTAGTGATGTGCCGGGGACCCGGTTCGGACCTGGGGACCCGGCAATTCGGCTGTTTTACCGGGTACCCGGTATCGGCCATTTTGTTGCAGTACCCGGCACCGGGTATCTTCAAATTAATTTTTCCTTTTGTTTAAACTTTAACCATTAAACTTCTTAATATAAGTCTAAGAGTGTTATGTAGTCGATAACCACAAAGTTCTAATAACTTAAAACAATCTCACTTAAAATATTTTTTAATACATTTCTGCAAAAAAATTTATACGAATACAAAAACTGTAACGCTAAATGAAATAATTCGAGAATACAAATAAAAAGAATGGGAAAAAAAGTTTTAAAATAGCTTCTTTTTATTCTGTTAGAACACAAGATAATTTTGCCAAGTTTTTATTCCAACTTTTAAAAAATGGACTCGGTGCCGAGTACCCGGACTCGGACCCGGTTTTTTCAGCCGGGTACCCGGAATCGGAGACTCGGCATAAACTGGTTCCGGCACATCTCTAATATATATATATATATATATATATATATATATATATATATATATATATATATATATATATATATATATATATATATATATATATATATATATATATATATACATATATATATATATATATATATATATATATATATATATAATATATATATAAATATATATATATATATATTAATATATATATATATATATATATATATATATATATATAAATATATATTAATATATATATATATATATTTATATATATATATATATATATATATATATATATATATATATATATATATATATATATATATATATACAAATAAATATATATATATATATTAATATATATATATAAATATATATTAATATATATATATATATATATATATATATATATATATATATATATATATATTAATAAATACATATATATATATATATTAATAAATACATATATATATATATATATATATATATATATATATATATTAATATATATATATATATATATATATATATATTATATATATATATATATATATATATATATATATGTATATATATATATATATATATATATATATATATATATATATATATATATATATATATATATATATATATATATATATATATATATATATATATATATATATATATATATATATATATATATATATATTCTGATTCACTCCCAACAAGGCTGCAATCAACCACTATTAAATTTAGGGAAAAAAAAGAATTATGGAGCAAGTAAATGGTTGACAGAAGACTTTAGGAATTGTAGGTTGTATGAGTCAGGAAAACATGAAGATGGGAGAGAGTTCTAAAGGGTTGAAATGCAGGGGAAAAAACTAGATAAAAGTTTTTAGAACTTGCAGGGACAGATACAGTAAACGAATGAGACTTAGCTGAATAACAATCAAGCAAGAATGAGTTTTAGTTGATGGAACTAAAAATAATAGCTCCTTTAATTAGGGACCATGATATGTAGAAAAGAGAAAGCAATTCAACTTTATGACGAATGGATATAGGCTCAAGCTTAGCAGATAGAGTGGGTCCAACTTTGTTTACAATGCGTTTTTGGACTTTGTCTAGATGAGAAAGAGCATCATTAGAAGAACCAGCCCAAATATGATAAGTGTTCAATACAGGAACAAATAAGAGATTTGTATAGGTAGAGAACGGAATCAGGAGAGTGAAAATGGCGAGCATGATGAAGAGAAGCAACCTTAACAAATGCTAATTTAGCAATCGATTGTATATATTGTTTCCATGAAAGGTCAGTAGTAAACAATAATCCAAGAATACGTAAAGAAGAGGACTCAGTGAGAGGGTTGCCATTCATTAATATAGGAATGTCGAAAGTATTGCAATAGGTGTTTGCTGTAAATAAGTTTAAAATAAAGTTTAGTTAAGAGTTTTGTTAAAATTTACAAGCCACTTTTACAAGCCCTAATCTGTTACAGTAGTGAAATCAAATTCAAGATTACAAGATTGCCTGTTCTAAGCAATCAAAAAAAGAAGACTTTTTGTCAAGGCTTAAATTGTTTACAATAAAGTAATAAGTAAGTAACTTTCAGCAAAATAGTAAGTAATCATACTTTCAGCAAAATAGGACTCAATTTTATAGATCATGTAGTATTTTTTTTGTCAATATAAAGTTAAGTCATCAGTAAAAAGAGCTACTTTAGATGGTTGTTGGGAAGATTAATAATGTAAATAAAAAATAAAATAGGACCAAGGATAGATACTTGAGGTACCCCAGAAGTTACTAGAAATAAAGAAGAGTGTTGGCCTTCGAGGATGACATTAGTAAAGCGGTTAGAAAGAAACAATTTTATAATCTCAAAAACTTTCCTAGATAGACCATGAAGCAAGGTTATGAAGTAGACCAGCATTAAACCTTTAACCCTCTTTAAATAAAAAATTAAAAATCAGTGTTTTTCATGCGCTGTATTTATCTTTTATGATTAATTTAAGCCTAATTTGAATTAAATTGCCCAATATCTAATACATTCTCAAGTCCATTTTCTATTAATAATATTGTCTTTAAAAAAATTATTTTGAAAATAGATTAAATTAGTGCTCAAATGAAAGGAAATTTTATATAAATCCAAAAAAATGTAAAAAAAGATATCAAAAAACATTATTTAGTTTTATAAAGTTCATGTTTTTCATCTTTGATATAAAAACTGTAGTTTTACTGCAATAAAATCTAAAAAAGAATTAACACAAAAGATAACCGCAGCACATTAAAAGCACTGAGTTGTGGTTTTCTATCTAAAGGGGACATTAAGGCACCATAATTTCTATATATACATACATATATAAAAATGAAAAAAGGATATCTTTAAATTGTTGAGTGATTTCTTAGTTAATTGATTTGAGTGATTTCTTGTTGAGTGATTTCTTAGTTGAGTGATTTCTTAGTGCTCTTCTTGTTGATAATCAATTGTGATTTAGCTCTACATACAAGGGGCAGAAATAAAACCTTAGTCGCTATTTATTCAAACCTTTTATTTAAATTAGCAAAATGGAAAAAGTTAAATGTTCCTTTTGCCATAACATGTCTAAAAATTGACCTTGAACAACAAACTCTGTTAAAAATATATGCAAGTGTCCTGATATAGTACTATATGAAAATGTCTGTAAAAAAATGCAGATAAAAAAATTAATTATGAATAAATAAATTACGAATAATCAGATGAAGCTGGTCAGGAAAACTCAGTAAAACTATTACAAAATTTATACCAAAAAAAAAACTAAAAAATTGCTAAAAAAAGCAGAAAAAAAAATTAGAAAATGCCCAAAAAAAAAACTTTTTTTTTTGTGGTGTTTTTTTTGACCTAAAAAAAATGCAATAAGAAAAAAACACAATTTTTTACAACTCTAAGCATTACAACAGTAGTTTTATCATACATTAGATGGTAGTGAGGCAATTGCATTGTTTTCGACATAAACACCTTTTGATAAAGTCTGGCATGCCAGTCTTTCCCAAAAGCTTTCTTCATACAGTGTTTCTAGAAACAATTTCAAAACTATTGAATCAAACTTTTCCAACTGGAGTATTAAAGTTATCCTTGAAGGGCATCACTTCTTGATAGCTTATATAACAAAAAGTTGATTTTGAATCTGATCTCTCTTTTGTGACAGCTCGGGACTCGCAGTGACTAATCAACTTGAATCCAAACATAACTATTTTGTTTACTGGTATTAAATATTTCAATGTTGTTGATATTTTATACTTATGAATAGCAACACTCTTACTGAGTCTTCTTCTTGATGTCTTTTAGGATTATCCTTCATTACAAACCTCTGATGGAGACCATATATATATATATATATATATATATATATATATATATATATATTATATATATATATATATATATATATATATATATATATATATATTATATATATATATATATATATATATATATATATATATATATATATATATATATATATATATATATATATATATATATATATATATATATGTATATAATATATATATATATATATATATATATATATATATATATATATATATATATATATATATATATATATATATATTATATTACACAACCACACTAGTGATTGTCAAAATACCATTTTAAATCAATTAATGACTGTTTACTGCTAGTTTTTTTTAAGCGCTAGTGTACGTCATGTTTGTAAAACAATATTATTTAATAATATGTAACAAAAAGGTTTATTACTTACAGTGATTGTATAGTCTTGGTTGTTATCATTACTAGAGCTTTTTCTTTTTTTCTCACTATTTCTTCTACTTTTACAACTTTTTGTTAAAATATAGTTTGGTGAACTGAATTCCTCATTGGTTCTATCACGACCAGGGCATGCACAAACACGTACTTCGATTACCTGCCGGCCAAGCACATAACCCCTTTTAAAAAAACATACTAGTTACTAAACATTTGTACTGAAAAAAATAAAATTTTTAAAAATAAAGTTTTTAAAAATGAAAAATTAATTTATAATAAAAGAAATGAACCGAAAAACATCCATTTAAAGTTTTTTTTTTTTTTTTTTTTATTAGCATTCACTCCCAACAAGGCTGCAAGCAACCACTATTAAGTTGGGAGTTACTAGGAAAAAAAAAAGAACAGAGTTATAGAGCAAGGAAACGGTTGACAGAAGACTTGAAAAGTTGAAGGTTGTATGAGTCAGGAAAACATGAAGATGGGAGAGAGTTCCAAAGGATTGAAGTGCGGGGAAAAAAACTAGATGAATAAAAGTTTTTAGAGCATGCAGGGACAGATACAGTAAACGAATGAGACTTAGCTGAATGACGAGTAAAACGAGAATGAATTTTAGTTGATGGAACTAGAGATGATAACTCCTTTGAGCAGTGACCATGATAGTATCTGTAGAAAAGAGAAAGAGATGCAACTTTACGACGATGGGAAAGAGGTTCAAGCTTAGCAGATAGTCCAGGTCCAACAACATTTACAATGCGTTTTTGGACCTTGTCAAGAAGAGAAAGTGAATCGTTAGAAGAACCAGCCCAAATATGACAACAGTATTCCAGACAGGGACGAATAAGAGATTTGTAGAGGTAGAGAATGGAATCAGAAGTAAGGAAATGGCGAGCACGATAAAGAGAAGCAACCTTAGCAGAAGCTAATTTAGCAATCGATTGTATATATGGTTTCCATGAAAGGTCAGTAGTAAGCGATAATCCAAGAAGACGTAAAGAGGGCGACTCAGTAAGAGGATTGCCATTCATTAATATAGGAATGTTGACCATATTACGGTAGTTGTTTGCAGTAAGCAATTGGGTTTTTTTAGAGTTGAAATTCACAAGCCACTGTGAGCCCCAATCTATTACTGAAGTGAGATCAGATTCAAGATCAGCTGCTTGTTCAAGGCGATCGAAAAGAGAAGACTTTTTGTCAAGACAGGAGTATAAAGTTGAGTCATCAGCAAAAAGAGCTACTTTAGATGAAAGGTTGTCAGGAAGATCGTTTATGTAGATAAGAAACAAAACAGGGCCCAGGATGGAACCTTGGGGAACCCCAGAAGTTACTGGAAATAAAGAAGAGTGTTGGCCTTCAAGGATGACTTTAATAAACCGGTTAGAAAGAAATGATTTGATAATCTCAAAAACTTTCCCAGAAACACCATATGAAGCAAGCTTATGGAGAAGACCAGCATGCCAAACTTTGTCGAAAGCTTTAGATATGTCGAGAGCAATAGCCCTAGCCTCACCGCCTCCATCTAATGCACGATAAAATCTTTCAGTTACAGCAGTTAGCAAGTCGGCCGTAGAGCGAGAGGATCGAAAACCGTATTGATTGTCTGACAGCAGTTTATTTGACTCAAGATGAGATGTGAGAAATTTTTTGATCAAAGACTCAAAGACCTTGCTAATAACAGAAAGAAGACTGATCGGACGATAATTGGAGGGGTCAGAATTTTCTCCAGAGTTTTTGAATATTGGAACTACAGATGCCATTTTCCAACAAGCAGGAAAACAAGACTCAGTCAAACACTTGTTAAATAGTTTAGAGAGAATTGAAGAAAGTTCTGGAGAACAATTCTGCAAGACTGTGACAGGAATGTTGTCTGGACCACAAGCTGTAGACGAGTTTAATTGAGATATGACTTTAGCAACAGAAGCCGGAGTGATTTGAATGTCTAACAATGGGTCAACCTGTTTGACTGGAATGGAAGGAAGAGAATGTCCATAAGATTCAAGAGTGGAATTAGAAGAAAAGTTCTTTGCAAACAGTTCTGCCTTATCCCTGGGAGAGGTAACAAGATCAGTCCCATGAATGAGAGATGGAATGTTAGATCTACCCTTGTTAACAATGCTGTTGAAGATTTTCCAAAAGTCTTTAGAGCCTAACTTCTGCGATAAGATGCGAGATTTAGTGAACTGAGAATAATGGAGTTTAGCATCAGAAAGCACCTTTTTACATCGATTTCTTGCAACAATAAATAGCCGTTTGTTCTCAAGAGAGTTGTTCTTTTGAAAAAGATGAAAAAAATGATTACGATTGGATATAGCAGCCACACAAGAAGGAGAAAACCATGGAGTAGAATGAGGCTTGACTTGAAACCGACGCGAAGGAATAAAAGCTTCCATTCCAGCCTGAATCCAGGAGGTAATGTAGGAGGCGCATTTGTCAGCTGAGAGAGAAAAAACATCAGCCCAAGGACCATCACGAAGAAAATCACGAAAGGAATCCCAGTCAGCTTTAGGGTAGTAGTAGGTGGTGCGATGATAAGGTGAGCCCAAAAAAGAAGTACAAGAAGAAAGATTTATAGAGATCATTGCATGGTCAGAACCACCTAAAAGAGAAAAGGGAGAAACTGAACATAAGCTAGGGTCAGAGACAAGACATAAGTCAAGGAGTGAAGGTAAATGATTAGGGTTGTCAGGAAAACGAGTCACAAAGTTAACTATCTGAGTAAGAGATTGAGAAACGCAGAAGTTAAAGGCTTTAGTGCCAGCAGGATCGGTGGTGTTAGAGCCAAGCCATTCAGTGTGATGGGCATTAAAATCACCAACAACAACAATATTGGCAGAGGGGTAAAGAGAGAGGGCATGGTCAATTTGATCAGAGATAACATCTAAAAGAGTGCAGTCATGGGAAGAAGGAGAACGATAAAGAACAAAGAGAAAGGTGATAGAGTGAAGAGGTGCTAGGCGAAAGCACATAAAAGAATGGTCAAAGGATTCGAACCTGATTTCACGACAAATAGGGGAATTAATGCGTATGTATACCCCTAAACCTAGCATGTGACTATTGGAGTCTTTACGAATCAAAGGATAGTACCCATCAACACTGACATCTGAAGAAGGAATTGCAGAACTTAAATTTGTTTCACTGAGTGCAAGCAAGTCTGGTGAATTTTGCAGGAGGTAAGACTCAACTGATGGAAAGTTGCTTCGTAGACCGCGAATATTTGTAAAAGATATATTAAAATATTTAGGTGATGGGGATGGTTTTTTAGGTTTTAAATTTTTGGTTACTTTGGTCATGATTTGGGTTTAATGAGAACTTGACTCATTCATAGATAGAGCACAGCCTCCTAATCAATGAGCTATGCAGTTGTCTCAGTCCTGTTAATTAACCCTAAGCCGTGACATAGGGCTCCTTATGTGGCCTTGACAATGCACACCAAAAGCATTAACAGGGACACCATCCATGCGCAACATGGCACTGTTAATACTCTGATATTTTGCAGCTGTTGATGGAATCAGCCTCTCTGAGAGCTACCACAGAGTTCGGGAAACCTTACTACCAGCCGGCCTCAGAACCATTAAACTGAGTTTTAGAGCTGTACCCTCATATGGAGATAACAAGAAGAGGTGCATAGCCATTATCAAGGAGGCATAAGCAAAATTCTATGAGTAGAGTAAAATGAGTATATATATATACTCATATATATATATATATATAGTAGAGTAAATATATATAGTAGTATAGTATATATATTTATATAGTATATATAGTATAATAGTAGAGTATATATATATAGTAGAGTAAAATTCTATGAGTAGAGTAAAAGTAAAATAAATAAAATCAAAAATGAATAAAGA